TTCTTATAATGAAATTACCTTATAATGATTAATAAACAATCCACTATTTTTAAAATTTAATTTTATAAAATTGTCAACAGCTTCAGCCATTTGAAGACTTTCAGTTGAAAATCTTTTCTTTAAGTTGACAATTACACAATCTAATATTTTAAAATATCCATTTACGCAAAAGTATTTTTTCAACTGATGTATTTGTTTCAGTATTATTCATTGATTCCGCGGCAGTAGTGGTTGTTAGAATGAAATCTTCAAAAACATTGGGTTCTCGTCTTATTCGCTTAGATGCTAATAATAAACATATTTAATAAGCTTAACTTAATAATATTAATATTAATAAATATTTTTTAGTAGGTACACACACATTACTGACCTTGAGTTTGAAAAGGTAGAATCAGTTTAACATCATTTTTATCACAAAAGGTTTTTATGTCTAACCACAAGTCATTAAATCCAATGGTAGATCTAGCATTCTCAAAACTTAATTGATTGATAAATAGAAACGTCACTGTTGTGTGTTTCGAATTGTCGAATTTTACATTGGTATTTACTATTTCGTCTATTTTTAGCTCTCATAACATATTATTAATGATAGCGTCGATAACGCAATGCAGTTTGGCAGTTCCAAGAAAATAATGATATCGATGTCTGCACATTGAAATCAGTCTAATATACATTAATACTTAAATATTTATTATGCTGTAGTGCCTCTATGCATCCTCTGTCATCCTACTTTTTTTTTTTAAAACTGTAAATGTTTTTATTCGCGTTCCAACAATATTTGAATTGAAAGTTAATATGCATATATTTATTATTATTTATTGCAGTAACCTGCAATGACCAAATTTGAGGAGGCTAATTTTTCTATTTGTACGTTTTGAGGGGGCTAAGACCCCTCAAGCCCCCCCCCAATTTCTGCCTATGCTTTAGGGTAACAAAGCCAGGGGACCATAGACCTTATACTCATAGACGGAGCATCATTGGTTGGCGGGGTTGGGTGGTGCGGTCATAGCTATCACCTTAGCAGTTTTGTCATTTCTGATAACATAAAATATGTTTATTTATTTATATTATTAAGATATTAATGTTGTAACATAATTATTAGGGCTCGGGATTATGCATTTGCAAATTTCAAATTTGCAAAACATTTGTCCAGAAAGCAAATAGAATAAATCTGATTCATTATTATATTTGTTTGGGGAGTCTGGATTTGAAATTTAAAAGTTTTTTGCATATATTTAAG